AGTCTCTAAAGGGTCCTAGGGTGTGTTCTATAAGATGGACCTTTCCATAAGGCTCACCAATTTTAGGACAAGAAAACAGATTATTTTTTCCTGTTTTCTTCTCCTAAAAATTTGGTGCGTCTTATGGAGTGAAAAATACGGTACTGCTTTTTTCGAAGTTACTGCTTTGTCATTTACAATGTGGTAACAAATTAATTTTGTAGATTTCACTAAAGGTATTAAACATCAATGGATTGATCTGAAAATCAAAGTTACATTTCCAAGATCTAAGGTAATAAAGGGAAGGGAAAATCAGGGGCAGGAAGAGCGGAGAGCAATGTGGAAAAAAATGGCAAAGATCTGGTGGAAGAAACAGAACTATGGCCCATGGTATGCCTTCAGGTTCCAATGGCTTCTACAGGACAGGGAATGGACACAGGAGAAAGCAACACTGGTATGATAGGTTTTAAAACAAAGATCTTCTAGTGTATGATAGGTTCACTGTTGTTGTTGTTGTTTAGTCGTGTCCGACTCTTCGTGACCCCATGGACCAGAGCACGCCAGGCCCTCCTGTCTTCCACTGCCTCCCGGAGTTGGATCAAATTCATGTTGGTCGCTTCGATGACACTATCCAACCATCTCGTCCTCTGTCGTCCCCTTCTCCTCTTGCCTTCACACTTTCCTAACATCAGGGTCTTTTCCAGGGAGTCTTCTCTTCTCATGAGATGGCCAAAGTATTGGAGCCTCAGCTTCAGGCTGTCCTTCCAGATCCTGAAGCTGAGGCTCCAAAAAATCCTTAACCACCCAATGATGCTACTGCTGCTTAGTGTGTATGAGAAGCAGAAAGCCATCATGATTCAAAGACTCTATTGATGGGATACTGGGATGCTCCATATGTTCATTCGAACACAACGTCTTAACAGTATCTTCTGTTCATGTTCTCTGCTCCGGGTTCCCAAGAGATGAGACCTCTCTAGCAGTATGTGAGCAAAGAAGCCTTCAGAGAAAATTTTGCTGAAAGTGCATTTTAAGTGCACAAAACTAGGCCAAAGGAAAAAAGCAAAAAGATAAGAGGGAAAAAAACAGGGTGCCAAGGAGATTCTACATTTTATGAGTCGAAGGGTGCCTGTTCATTGCTGTTCCTGTGGTTGTAGGGCTACCTGAACTCAGCAGTAAGTGGTTCAGACGATCTCAGGCATCTCCTGCCTTAGAACATATTAGCTGGGCCACCTACCAAGGAGACTGTAATACAGTATTCTCCCAACCTCCAGTCCAGCTCTTGAATACTGGTGAAAGGAGGTAGCTAAGGGAGCAAAAGCTTAAAGGGGTTTTGAGACATCCAAGCAGAAAAGAAGTCAGAAGGGCTCTCTATAGAAATGAACTTTAGAATACTGTGCTCCACGGTAACTGGCTACGACATGGATTGGGACCATTAGGACATCAAGGCTGCCATCTGTGCCGAGGTCTGCTTGGCAAGTATTATGACTTCCTGTGGTATTTCAAAGCAGAACGTTACTGGCCGTGCAAAAGAGCCATCTGGAGTTCAGTCCAGGGGGAACCTGCCCTGTTCAAGTTGCACGGCAGAGGTCTATCAATTCAGCTATCCTAGCTTCTGCTGAAGAATCTTGTGCATTGTAGCTTGCTTATGCTTTGAGAATCCTGTTCACTTCGAGTTACTCCCTGGCTCCAATAGAGAAAGAACTGCAGTTCCTACAAAGAAGAAATGGCTACTCAACCCTTTTGGCTCTGTGATGTGTACATAGGTGTGTGTAAGAGCAGTGGTGTAGTGGAGGCAGAGTTAGCCGGGTCAAAAGCCCAGGACTTTCTGAGGAGTAAGGACCATCAGCTATACCCTCCTCATGTTTCCCTGTTCCTTCTGAGTGTAGCTGCAACCTTCATAGTAGCTCAGAGAGAAATGGATTTTCCCAGGAACTGAATGTTGTTGCAAGCGACTGCTGTGGTAACACAAAATACTTCGGAAAGGCGAGGTCTTAAGTTGGCAATAAAGAGTCATTCATTTTGCAAAAGACCTGCTCTTTATTGGTTGGCATGGAGCAATTCAGCTGCCTGTCGTTTTGGATTCTCCTTATTAGCAAAAGGAGAGTCTGTGGGGACTCTTGTGAGGAGCATCTCCACTTCCAAATTCACTACTGTGTGAGACGCACGCCTAGTGTGTCAACAGGAAGAACATTTTGAATTCTTTTGCACAAATGTAAGACATAGCAATAAATACCTTTTTTTCATATACATCTTGCCACACAATGCCAGCAAAAAATCTGTGTTGCATAATCTCCTTGGCGTCCTCTGATCCGCCACCTAACCTGTTGGAAGAAAAGGTCCCAGCACTTTAGTACTGTGCATTTATTTAATGTTCTTAACCTCTGTGCTGCCCTGCATAATTTTTGCCCATTTGAAAAATGACACATTGCTAAGGAGTGATACAGAAAGGCATGATCTAGGCCATATGGGCAGCGATGATGTGGGCTCTTCCAGTCCCCCAATACCCTGCCTGCTGTTCCAAGTTCAGGAAATACCAAATATTTCATCGCTGCAGCTGCTTTTGGCTGCTGCCATTTGAAATGATCATTAATGAACAACATAGCTTTGGAATGAAGTCAAATCATCAGGTCTGAAATGCAGTTCCATCTCCAGATTTAATTTTAAGGGAGCAAGAACCTTTATTTGTTTTAAGGCATAGGTGACACTTAGCCATTCAAATCTTTGGGCTTCCACTTCTGTCAGCACTACTCCACGTTCCTGGTCGCAGACATGCTTCCGGGGCATAGACAGATTCAGAGGGTGCACAAAGCATGCAACCTCCCAGGAACATTTTTATATTTCCCCCTCCTCAAGACTCCTACTCCCCCCTTCAACATCCCCAAAAAGTTTTAAAGAAGTTTTGCACTAGAGGGCGTAAGGGGACTTTTTCAGTTAACAAAAACCCACTGTAGCAAACTTTGCAGCAGCAACAAGAACCGCAAATTGATTTAGAAGTGATCTCTGTATTAGTCTGTGCAAGAAGATCAACCAGAAATATAAAACAAAAGGAAAAGGAGGAGGAGAAGTAGCAGCAGCAGCAGCAGAAGAAGAGAAAGACATTGGAGCAACTTAAGGACTAACTGCTATATTTTAATCTGAGCTTTTGCGGAACAAGTCTATTTCTTCAGACATAAGAGTACGACTACAGTGACTACATAGCAAAACACTCCTATAGGACTCTAAGATAAAAGAGACAGTGGTGTTGGGTTGCATTTCACACCTAGTCATGATTTGAGAGCCATGTTTGGTATTCAGTGCTTTTGAAGCTTTGTTCTGCAAACAGCCATAATGATTAGTGGCTGAGGGAGGAACAGCAAAAACAACAGGCAGTAATGAGTTAAGAATCAGTGACTTTTCCTTTGAATAATCTCATTTGCTAAGCTCTCCCCCCCCCCTTTAGTTCCTTCCTAGGGAGTTCCTGTGGGCTGCTGGCAAACCTGAATGTCAGCCAGGTTGCTATCACCCACCCCCTGTTTACAGGGAGGGCGATGTTGTCATGCTGGGTGTGGGTCTTTACGCATTACAGCTTGCTAATGGACGAACCGGATGCTGGAGCGGCTGTGCCTTCCGTCTGACACAGAAGAGTTTCTCTTTTTTCCCCCCTTACGATTCACAAAGACAAGACTCAGACGAAATGGGAAACTGTGGCTTGTCGCAAACCTGGATAACAGTGAGAAGAATATGTGGACCTGACATTTGTCAGCCCACAGGGGCTTAACAGTGATTGGGGAAACAGGGACTGTTATGCCCAGATGATCCCTATGACCCAGTCAAGGCCACCCAGCATGCTTCATGTGTTTTGAGCTTCTCCGCTCCCAGTTGTGTGACGATACCACACTGGCTCGAATATTGCAGTTGTCCGTTTCTAGTCCTGGTGGCTGTACCGGTGGTGTCCCTTCTCTATGAAGTTCAGAACTCAGTTTATTCCAGAGCATAGAGAAGTTACTTTATTTGGACCACAACCCCAAGAATCCACCAGCCAGCTCATCTTCCTGTCTTTCAGAGTGACAGAGCTTCTTAAAAAAGTTACTGGCCATTCTGTCCGGGAGTCCAAGTGTAAGAAAGACTGTGCCAAAATTTCAAGAAGACCCATTAAAAACATCTAAGAAGTTATTACGTTGAAAAGCCCAAAGCCTCACCTTTGCTTTGGGTCCTTCTTCAGCAAACCTGACAGAAGGGACTTGGCTTCAGGCGACAATGTGCGTGGAAACCTAATCTCTTCCATGAGGATGAGTTCAAAGAGCTTCTCGTGGTCTGAATTGTAGAAAGGGAGCCGCCCACACATCATTTCATACATGACGACGCCTAAGCCCCACCAGTCCACAGCACGGCCATAGTCGTTATCCTCCAGCACCTGCAAAAAGGACAATGTCAGAGTTTTCCATCAAGGATTTCCCCTCTCATAAAACCACAGAGCAATTGAGTTGGAAGAGCTTAAAAGGCCATCAAGTCGAACCCCCTGCTCAATACAGGAATCTACCGTATTTTTCCATGTATAAGATGCCCCCATGTATAAGATCCCCCCTTTTCTAATTCAAAATTAAAGCAAAAGCAAAAAAGCAAAGCCTGCTGCTTATATACGCCCCATAGCACTTTAACATTGCCTTGAGCCGTTTACAAGTTAATTATGCAGGCTACACATTGCCCCCCCCCCGCGAGCTGGGTACTCATTTTACTGACCTCAGAAGGATAGAAGGCTGAGTCAACCTTGAGCCGGCTACCTGGGATTGAACCCCAGGTCGTGAGCACAGTTTTGGCTGCAACTGTATGGGGAAAGGGATCAAACACTGCAGGATGACTTTGATCCCTGCTTTCCCCCCCACTTGTTTTTGTTCTCTCCTCAGCTTACTTCCATGTATAAGACAACCCTCAATTTTTAGTCTAAAGATTTTACACAAAAGTATAGTCTTATACATGAAAAAAAAATCAAAGCAGATCTGACAGATGGCTGTCCAATTTTTCCTTGAATGCCTCCAGCACTTGGGAGTACTCATCACCTCCTGAGATAACTGGTTCCATTGTCGTACTACTCTAGTGCTTAAGATGTTTTCCCTGATATTTAGCCTAAATCTAGTTTTCTGTAGCTTGGGTCCATGTTATGTGTCCTGCACTCTGGGAAGACATTAAAACTGAATCTATTCAAGACAAGCATGAACATGGGATTCTTATCTGAGTGAATCTTCATCCTATGGATTAAATTTCTTGTGCCTCATCCATCTTGGCTAAGAGGCATGGCAAGAAACCAAAGCAACCTGAATCTTCACCACACAACACTTGGTTCACAGTTGATATTGGGCAGGTGTATCTGCCTTTTTTGAACTCAAAAAGACTGGGAGCTGTAGAGGGGGTGGAGTGGGAAACGGTATGTACAAAGCAAGCTGCAAAGGCGAATTTACATGGATTGCAAGAAGTATGTGAACATGCAGAAGATTATTTTGCACCATGTGAAGAGGTAGTCTATCATCATGATATAATAAAACCACTGAAATGTACCCAAGTTTTAAAAGGATGGATCACCACAATGACATCTGACAGCATCTTAACCCAACTGACTAGAGGTCTGAAAGCTCCTCTCTATTACTGGTTGACCTTGAATGGTTGATCTTGTAGACAGCTATTGGGCTTAAACAGCAGCAACCATAAATCAAAAAAGCAATCTTTCAGATTGCTCCTAATTAGGGACATGGGGACTCCCAATTTATTTATTTATTTAAAGTATTTTTTTTGTTCCACCTTTCTCCTTAAAAGGACCCAAGGTGGTTTACATCATTAAGAAGACAATATTTAAAAGCTAAAAACAGTAAGTATATAAATATTAAACAAGAATGAAACAAATATTATATTAAAAATGATCAATAAAAGCAGTAACAAAAACGTATTTAAAAACAACAGAGCCCAACAATCCATTTAAAAAACTTCTCAGATAGCTAGTCACTCAGGGAAAGCCTGCCTGGAGAGGAAGGTCTTTGTCTGCTTGCAGAAGGACAGCAAAGATAGTGCCAGTCTGGCATCCCGTGGGAGGGAGTTCCAGAGTCTGGAAGCAGCAGCAGAGAAGTCTCTCTCCCATGTACCCTCTTTCCCCGAAAATAAGACCTAACCTGAAAATAAGCCCTAGTATGATTTTTCAGAATGCTCATAATATAAGCCCTTCTCCCAAAATAAGCCCTAGTTAAGTGAAACCCCGCCCTCCACCCTTGTGCAGCAACCAGAACATGACATGACTGTATTTGAATAAACATAGATTGTTGTACATGAAAAAAAATATAAAACATCCCCTGAAAATAAGCCCTAATGCATTTTTGGAGCAAAATGTCTTATTTTCAGGGAAGCAGGATATCAAGGGTGTGGCTGGGAGGAATTCAAGTGATCAAGGATTAAGGAAAGAGTTAAGCTTTAACACTGGGTGCTCCTACAGTACTAGGAGTGGTGGATAGGGACCAAAACCTACAGGAAAATCCCAGCTTTCCAGCCTTTGTGCCTGCCCGTGTGCTACTTTTCAATCTGGAAGATCTGGCCACATCTAATGTCAATTTGGCTCCTCCAAACTAAGATCTTCTTGACCCAACTGGCCAGATCTGAAAGCTGTCCACATTCCACTTTGATGCTTAGCCCCTTCCACTGCTGTCCTTTGTCCTCCCACACAGGGTTAATCAGAGTCCTTCCATTGGTTCCTCTGAGGTTAACGTCCATATAACATCCCACCACTTTCCACCCAGCCATTTGAGTTCATGGCCAGAATCCTGCTGATTAATTATGCTGGCACAGGTGTAATAGCATAAACCTCTATGGTTAATTGCTGGTAATTAACACATTGCTGCTTGTACCTCCCGTTGTGCATCAGTTCACGGGATTGCAACATAAGGAGGAATGCTAACAGCAAATTGTTAACTGGCTGCAATTTGTTGCTGTCATTTTACACCACTGCACCTTTGCTAGTTTAACTCACTAACAGGATTCTAGCCACTATGTACCCTTATAGAACAACTGATACATTCATGTGCTTATTTTCCTCTTTTTTTCACTGCTTCCTTTTCCTTTTCCTTTATTTCTATTAGACTGTGTGCCATTATTTTAAAGCAACAACCCAGTGATCTTAAACTCTAGTATGAACTCATGAACTATCCTACAAAGACAAAACATCAGCTTTTTCCAAGACGGCTATTTATATATCAGTAAGCAACTCATTATTACTTTTAACAGCTATGGTAAGTTGGTAATCAAGGGAACACACAAAACACAATTCAAAGTCAGGACCTTTATGGGAAAAGGTCGCAGACAGACATTCTGTATCAGGCAGGCTTGCTTGACACATGACAACTCCAGGAGCACATGGATTGAGGAGGAATTCCTGGTCAATGTTAAGAGAGCCTTATGTCCCATTGCAGACCATCTTTATATCTCACTAGCGGATCATGTCACACTGGTAGAGAAAAACTATCACAAGGCCCTAGGGAGCAACGAGCTAGAGACTGTGTATAAATGTCAAAAAGAAAAGAAATAAAAAGCACTATAGTGCTAAAGGCAAAATAAAGTGAGTATATTTTTTTTTAAAAAAAGATCCTCGAAAATCAAAGGCATTATAACAGTCACAGGTTTCCAGTAACGGATTTGCTTGATTCAGTCAAAACAAATATAAAATGATAACCCTGAATTTTACAGTGCAACATCCTCCAGATGTGCTATATATTTATTCCAAGCCAGCACAGCTGTAGGCCATGCTGATCGGGGATGATGGGGACTGTAGTTCCATACATCTAGAAACCACCAGGTGAAGGACAGCTGCTGCTAGAAAGCACGTTGTCATCAGGTGTGCACCACACTTTCCTCCCTGCTCTAAAGAATTCCACCGGCAGGTCCTTTCCGGCTTAAAACCAACAGGCCCTATCAGTCCCAAAGGGCACTCCTTCCGAAGCACCAAAAACACGACAGAGACCTTACACAAGGACAGGGAACGGAACGCCCTAGAGGCCGAGGTATCAAATCTTCCCAATCTGCTCTCTTGTCAGCCCCTGTTCCTCCCTCTCTACTAACTGCTTAGCACTCTGCTTTGGAAAGGAGGGAAATTGCTGGAACCTGGAAGACAGCCTGCGGTGGAAAGCCAGCGGCTGCCAGGTATTGGATTACCCCACACAGGTCTATTTACAGCATCTTTCGCAGTACAGCTTCGCACCGAGCGACAGCTGGCCCTGCAGCTGCCCCATATATGTAGAAGACCAACACAGCTGCTGCGTCTGCCAGGATTCCAGGAGCCAGCCTCATCATCCTTTATGAGCAATCAGGGGGTGGGGTGTTCTGGAGCTTCATCTGCCAGGGCTGTGTGACAATGCAGTTCATCTGCTGCTATCAGCAAAGCTAGTTGCGCCCTTTCCCGGAGAGCCCTTCACGGGAGGAGGGAGGCTGGACTGGACTCAAAGGAGAGCAGGCTTCCCCCCCCTCCTTGCTAGGAGATGGAGCGCTGAACGAAAAGAGAAAAAGCTTCCAAGCCCATTCCCTTTTAACAAGTTCCAAAAGCTTTTTACAAGGCCATAATACCAGCTTTTTACACGGCTGTATTACTTCCAAATCTGTTCCAGTGCCCTTGGGGTGACCTGCACAGACTCTCCCGGGATGCGAAGTACATCCTATTCTGAGCCAAGAGGTGGCTCTTCTATTTTATTTGGCAGCGAGCTATAAAGAAAGGCACGTGAACCCAAGCCCTGTGCAAATGGCCGTGCTATCTGCTTCAAGAGTGAATGGCTACTATTGTTTTATTAATTATTTACACTTATGTGTTGCCTTTTCTCCAAAGAGGCAGCACCTATAGTTCTCTTCCCCTCTGCTTCAGCATGACAACGTCTCTGCCGGGTAGGCAAGCATGGTGTCAGAGTAGGGACTTGAATCTGGATCTCCCAAATCTCAGTTCAACACCCTAACAAATATTCCACACTGGCTCTTGGACCTTACCTATTAGAGGAAAACAGGCAGAGCTGGGAAGAAATGTGTTAATTTAATGTGTTAACACAAACAGTCGTTAACAGGAGGAGAAGCTAACTGCTGCATGTGAAGAATCAAGTTTTGAATGAACTCTTCTAACATTACTTTCAAAATACTGGCCAAAATCCTGTTGCGTATACTATTCCTGCATAAGGAGTGATGATGTCACTGGCAGGAGATTTTCAGTAATTAAAGTACTACCTCTTTCTATCGGGGGGGGGGCTTTGCTAACTCATGAGTAATCTGTTTCATTGAAGCTGTGGGACCTGCCAAAGAGGAAGTCTTTAATAATGAGAAACATCCTCCACTAGTAACTACGTTACCCTTCCACAAGGATAACTTGTGCAATAGGATTTTGACCACTATTTTTAGATTAAATGCATTCCTCCTGGTTAATGTTGATTTTAGCCCATTACTGTATTTCGAAGCTGTGGAAACAGGTAATACAGGGCTGTTTGGGAAAGGCAAACTAAAGGGGAAATGCATTTTGATACCTTTATTGCTGCTTGTATTTGATGTTTACTGGCTCTAATGGGTCTATGTAGGGCTAGCTTTGAGATTGATGTGAAAACTCCAAATGGTGCAGAATGCAGTGGCCAGACTTCTTAGTGGGGTTAGGAAACATCAACATATCACTCCTACTCTGGCCGCATTGCACTGGCTGGCCATTTGATTCTGCGTTGATTTTAAAGTTTTAATCTTCACATACAAAGCCCTAAACGGTTTAGGACCTCGATACTTGGCGGAACGTCTCCTCCCACCTAGATCTACTCGTATCACCCGATCTAGCCAGGAGGGGCAACTGAGGAGCTTAACACTGAGGGAGACCCAGAAAGAAAAAACAAGACACGTGGCCTTCTCGGCAGTGGCTCCCAGTCTCTGGAACAAACTCTCCCCTGAGATCTGTTTGGCTCCCACACTGGGCATTTTTAAAAACCAACTCAAGACCTGTTTATATAGATAGGCTTCCCTCCGGGCATTACTTAACTTACCTCTTCTCTTCCTCTATTTCTAACAATCTTCTATTGTGTAAATGTTGCAAATTGTCATTATATATTGTTTTTACTCTGTGTTTTGTGAGTCGCCCAGAGTAGACTATGTCTAAATGGGCAGCATACAAGGTTAAATAAATAAATAAACAAATAAATATTTTATGGCGATGATGGACATTTTCTATCACATGGATGACAGACCCTCTGCAGCAAAATGGGTGCCTTTGTATTGGATTAAAATGGCCTGGCAGGTGGCATGGATGTACAAAGAGAATGTGGAAGACCACCAAGGTGGGAAAAGAAATATAAAGAAGAAAGGAAGAGTCTGATCATGGAGAATGCTTCCAGTCAGGAATACCATGTATGGTATGATAAGACCTCCAGCATACATCGCCGCATCTGACAAATTGGGCTGGAGTCCATGAAACGCCTTACGCTATAAGAATGTGTCACAGGAGTCTTTATTTTACAACCCCCCTCACCCCACGCTGGGTCCCCTAACCTGATCAGGAAACTGTTCTAAGCATGCTAAGAGTCTGGCATAGAGCAGCAAGGAAAGAGAAAAGCACATGACATATGGCAAGTATTAAGGAAGAGTATTCCGCCACGATTCATCACAATAGGTGGGGTCAGCAGAAGGCAAGAGGAGACAAGGAAAGGTCATTTTACTTAAAATAAGTGGCTCATCAGGTTGGGAGCCAACAGCTCCAACAGCTGTGCAAGTGGATTTTACAAGAGGAGGCACAACAGCTGTAAACACCTCAGTGACCGATACATCTGACACATCAAAGCTGGCGTGGTGCAGCCGCTGCCATCTCCGTACCAAATTCCAGCATGACCCTAAAACAACTATGCGGCAACTGTACAAACAGGCTCAGAGGCCAGGCTCTGATTACAAACAGATGACAGGAACACAAGCCCCACTTTTCCCCTCGGCTTTAAAAAAGGCCGAGTGACTTCACAGGACGCAGGATGTTCGCTCACGCATGCCCTCCGGATTGCTCGAATATTAACCCACCAACCGGATGACAAAGACACATAACACACCACATGCTACAAAACAAGATCGCTGTGTCTAAGGTACGAAAACAACTCTGAATGATACGGCATTAAGAATACATCCTGTTCATTTCCTGGGGCAGACACAGAGTGTTATTCCACCTCCGAAGAATCCCTGTTTGGAGAGATTTTAACCAATCCGCCAGTTTTTAAGCCTTCACAGCCTATATAAATGAGGATCATAGAGTACTCAGTAAGAGTAAGCTTGATTTTCAATGGTTCCCATTGGCTTCAAAACAGGGAAACTTCAGACAGGGACAGAGCTAAGAAAGGTTCTTGAACATAAAGATAAACCAAGGGCAGATAAAATTCGCAGGTTGATCCCTTGCATCCCTTTCTTTTCTCCCATAGAAGTGAATGGTTCTTGTTTACTTCCAGAGAAATCAGTGACACCGTTGCAGATGCAGGCAAAACAAGCACTCCATATCACACACACAAAATCATGAAAATGTTTCCTACGCAATAAAACAAAATAATTATGAATTATTGAGAAAAACAAGGAGGGTGAAGACAACATACCTCTGGCGCAAGGTATTCCGGCGTGCCGCAGAAGGTCTTCATTGTCGCTCCATCCTTGATCCCTTCTTTGCATAACCCGAAGTCTGTAATTTTTATGTGCCCGTCTTTATCCAGCATCAAGTTTTCCAACTAAAATAAATTAAAGAAAAAGATTAATTTTGAGATGTGCAATGCCGTATTCTTAATGCTCTTTGCAAAGTACATACCAATATCACCCCCTTTTTTGGACACCCCCCTTCTTGGCGCCTTTGCATTAGGATTGTAACATTTTTTTCTGACAAGTATCAGTAACTTCCTAGTGCCAGCAAGCTTCAGAAGCGGTTTTGAACCTTCAGGAGGTGCACAATATTTTATATGTCATAAACCGCTTCAAGGAGCCTTGTCAGACAGGCAGGCTGGAAGATCATCCTATGTTGTACCTATGGGGCGTTCTGAGACTGAAAGAACAGAACATATTTTTAAGATTTTTAAGAGGAACCGTTCAGCCAGTTTCACAGCCCCAGAAAAGTTAAACTCCTTCAAAACACGCAGCTTCAACATTCTTAGTAACGTAAACCACTAGTTTAAAAGGCTGTTGGCCATAACCAAACAAGGTACGGTCAAAGTGTATCCCTGCCACTCACACTGACCATCTGTGCTGGGTGGAAGAGGTGAGTGTTGGTACTTTTTGTTGCCCTGTAAGGGTAGCTGAACGCCCTCACTTTCTACAAAGCAAACGAAGCTGCTTACATGGAAATCAGCCTTCTGCAATATGGCGTCTTACATCTGGTTGGGGTTCCACCTTCCATCATTGCCAAGCTGCACAATGGTTTGGGAAGACCGGGGGGGAGGGGTATTCCAACACAACGAAAGGGCTCCCCATCAAGGAAACCTTTCTGAGATTACTGGGCTTTCTAAAGGAGGTTTGCTGAGCCAAAGGTTTGCCCCCAGCTCCCACCACTGGTTATACTGTGGCCATAGAAAGAGTAGAAATGGCCATTTTCAGAAGGACATCTGATTTCTTCTGCCCCCTCTCTCTATTTCAGTAGGGGAATCTTGAGGACCCTTTCCCACTGTTTTCTGGTGGTGCATTGTTGCCCACCTCTGCTACAATGGGTTGCTATCCATGTGAAAATTAAACTGGCCACTGTTGATCTGCACATGTTAATTTAGGTTTCTGTGCCTACATACATAAACACATCAAAATTAACATATGCAAGTCAGCAGTGGTCAGATAAGTCTCTGCATGGGCACAACCCATTGTGCCTATATCTATGTATCTACACACACAACAGTCCCTCCCACACATATACACCTCTCTCTCTGTGTGCTTCTTAAAGACAAACCCATAACCTCTGGTGGGAAATCAACCCCTCATTTTGGTTTCAAAAGCAGCCAGGCTGCACCTTGCAAAACAGTCTTCCAGATATGCTGAGCCATAACTTCCAGCATAGCACAATATTCCTGGAGTAATGGTTCAATTCATCTAAAAAGCACCAGGTTGGAGAAGACTGAGATAAAATCATAGGTAGAATCCAAAGTGCAGGAATGTCCTCCTGCGAAGTTTCTTCCCAACAGCTTGGCAGAGAAGACTTTAAGCTCCGTCAGCACCTCAATTTGCTCTGAAATGGCTCAGGAGATGATCAGACCATGAATGTTCCAAGCTTGTCACCTTCCATCGACATACCTTTAAATCTCTATAAACCACATTCTTCTCCGAATGTAGATAGTCCAGCGCTGATACAATCTCAGCTCCGTAGAACCGGGCACGATCTTCGGAAAACACACGTTCTCTTGACAGGTGGAAGAAGAGCTGAAATGGTAAGCAACCTATTAGCTTTATTCTGAACACCGCTGCGGTTTATCTTACAAATCTCGTAAGAGCTCAGTGGGGGGAAACATGCGATACATGTGGAGAGAGCCCGAGGTTCAAACCCTGACACTGTAACTGCAAGCTGTAGAGGCAAGTGGTTCAACTGGGACAAGACAACTTTCCATAACACAGCATCATCAAGATACACACAAAATAAATCACAAAAACATCTGCCTGAGTCAGAGTCTTTATACTATGGTCCACAGAGGGATAAGCAAATCTCTCCTCCTGTCTGTTTCTGGAACCCCCGTTCCTCTTTCAACCCTCTGTTTCTCTGGGAAAAGAGTAAATTCCCATTCCTGGAACAATGATTTACCTTTAAATAGGTCTCAGCCCCTTTGAACATCTAACATCCAGAAACATCATTTTTTTCAAAACCGAAAGTTACCCTTATGGAGACTCATGAGCTGGCCGGATTACAAAATGGTTTAGGTCTCTGGCTGCGGAGCCAGAGATTGGGAGTATGATTCCGTACTGTGCTTCCAGAAAGGAAAGCCAGCCTGTGTGGCCTTGGGCAAGCTGCACAGTCTCAAGGTGTACACATACACACAGCCAGAAAAAGGGAATGGTAAACCACTGCTGTGTATTCTCTAACTGGAAAACTGTGAAATGTCAGAACTGACCTGAGGGCAAATGAGGATAATTACTGCAGGGACTCGCCAATCCCCTGACATCATCTTACACCATGAAGTCACTTGCTGGACTAGATTCCAGCTCTTCTTGTCCACTATGATCACAGCAGACTTCTAGGGTCTCCCATTCTTCTCAGCCCTACAGATCCCTTAAACTAGAAATGCCAGGGACAGAAAGCAGTTCCTTTTATAGGCAAAACATGCACTTTTACCACTGATGCCCTCTTCTTCTTGGGAGGCTTGCTATGACCAACTTTGAAGACTTCCCAACCCACTAAAGCAGGGCACAAACACCAGAGATCCATAAGAGTACTTGTATATGACAGAGTCAAACATGATCCTTACCTCTCCTCCATTGGCATACTCCATAACAAAGCACAAACGGTCATGTGTCTGAAACGAATACTTCAAGGCCTGCAAAATAGGCAGAAAAGAGGGAGGAGTTTTGTAGTTTGCACACATTTGTTAAATCAGAGTATTCAGAGTGACATCATTACAATACAGGAATTTGATGGCCCTCACTGCCATGTCATTGCTGAGGAATGAGGGGTAAACCAACCCTAGCCTCCTACCTCACCAGCTTAAAAACACTTGAGAGGACCCTTTCCATACTGATATATGCACTGAAAAATCCCTTGGTCCCTACAGAAAACCTCTATATGTTATACTGCAAAACTCTGATTACCGGTGCTGTCCAGGTATCTTCCACTACTGTGGGGAAAATCCCCAGGGAACCCTGCTTACTACAAAGCCCATTATCCCTGGACAGCAAGCTGTTCTAAGGCTGGGCAGTATGAGAGCGGTATTCCAACACATCTGAAAAGTGTCAAGGTGCAGAAGACTGTCTGATGGAAAAGGAGGACCTCATCTTGGTGAAGAAGGGCACAAAAATGTGGGATACGAAGTCACAGATTTAATCTCATGCATCACAGGTTACAAGGAAATTCAGTGGTGATCTCCAGATGAAGTGCTGCCTTCTGCTTGCATCATGGGCAATGCTTGTGAAATAGGTGCAATCCCACAGTATTATGCTGGTGGAAGTTTACACTCAGAAGAAGCTCATTAAGATGCTGCTCACGCCTTTCAGGCTTGATGAGAAGCAGATAACGGCTTTCCAAGAGGAGAGCCGCAAGTCACATTCAACGGGATGTGAGTAGAGAGAAGCCCTACTGTCCAAGGAGAGTTATATCTGGTGTGGTTTGTCAGCACCTTCAGAAACGCAAGTTTGAGGGTGAGCAATGTTGGTAGGCTTAGGGCCAAATTCTTGCCCCCAAACTACTGTGGGCTGCACCAATTGGAATGCAGTGTACTGTACTGTGTATATGATAGCTAACTCCCATGGAGTTTCCACTCTTGCAATCTAAGGGTAATTCCTCTTAGATCTTCATCTACTGAACAACTTCAAGCTCTTATCTGCTTAGTGGACTACATCAACACAGGCACAGATACACCTGAACTGAAGCAGTGGGAAGCATCCAGAGACTGAGATGTGGTAGGTTAGATATGAAACACAGGACAAGTGAGTCAGTGAAGGACTGACTGCGTAAGTCCTCAAGGTTACAAGGCAAAAGATTCAGGTACACAGCTCGGCACACCCACTGGGATGGACAGGGACCACAAGGGATTGAGAGGATTAGGTTCCAGGATGTGGGTAGGGCCTCTGCCAAAATGAGGAGCCACAGTTTAGACCAGGAAAGGTGGACATTTTCAATACTATGGGATGCAGCAAAAGCAAGTCAAATACCATCCAATTCATCTCACCTGACTTTGGAAAGCAAAGCTGGGTTGGTTCTGGTTAGTAACCTGGAACCATCAGGGGAATACCAGGAATGTACAGGTAGAGATAGCAAAAGAGTCCTGCCTGAAACCCTGGAGAAAGGCAGCTGCCAGTCAAAGCTGGCAATACTGGGCTAGGTGGACCAGTGGTCTGAGTCAATAGAAAGTAGCCCTCCTCTGTTAGTTCTCTAAGCTTGTTCTTCCTATCCATGTATGACAATCCTGGCTTGGCTTTTTGCCGCAGTTCTGCAGAGTGCAGCTGGCCAGTCAAGACATTTAGTCAATATAAATACACACTCAAATCAAAAATACAAAATGTGCAAGGAAATGGGGGGAAGGAGGGGTTTCTCCCTCTCCCCCCCTAGTTCCTTTTTCTCCTTCCTCCACCCCAGTGATTTCCAATGTCAGGCACATATTCCTACATCAGGAGAACAACCAGCTTGTCAGGACACACCCTCCTCCATCTTGTTTTGCTTAAGCTGCAGTCCAGAATATTGCAGTTGTCCGTTTCTAGTCCTGGTGGCTGTACTGGTGGTGTCCCTTCTCTATGGAGCTTCAGAGCCACAGCTTTGGCTTTAAATAAAACTATAAAAATAACCAAAAGTAATAATGGATGTTACAATGTTGTTGTTTAATCATTAAGTCATGCCCGACTCTTTGTGACCCCATGGGCCAGAGCACGCGATGCCTTCCTGTCTTCCACTGCCTCTCCGAGTTGGGTGAAATTAATGTTGTTAGCTTCAATGACACTGTCCAACCATCTCATCCTCTGTCGTCCTCTTCTCCTCTTGCCTTCACACTTTCCCAACATCAGGGTCTTTTCCAGGGAGTCTTCTCTTCTCATGAGATGGCCAAAGTATTGGAGCCTCAGCTTCAGGATCTGTCCTTCCAGGGAGCACTCAGGGTTGATTTCCTTCAGAATTGATAGATTTGTTCTCCTTGCAGTCCAGGGGACTCTCAAGAGTCTCCTCCAGCACCAGAATTCAAAAGCATCAATTCTTCGGCGGTGAGCTTTCTTTATGGTCCAGCTCTCACTTCCATACATCGCTACTGGAAAAACCATAGCTTTGACTATTCGGACTTTTGTTGGCAAGGCGATGTCTCTGCTTTTTAAGATGCTGTCTAGGTTTGTCACCACTTTCCTCCCAAGAAGCAGGCATCTTTTAATTTTGTGGCTGCTGTCACTATCTGCAGTGATCATGGAGCACAAGAAAGCAATATCTGTCACTACCTACGTACAGTGGTGCCTCGCTTAACGGGTGCCCCGTTTAACGAAGAATCCGCATACCGATGCGGATTTTGCGATCGCAAAAGCGATCGTATTACGATGTTATCTATGGGGAAAAATCACTTTGCAATTTTTCCCCATAGGCACCATTTTCCCCCAGCTGACCGGCGGGGGCATCAGAAGGACCGCGGGAGAGGGCTCCCCCTGCGGTCCTTCTCAAGCTCCCGCAGGTCAGCTGGGGGAAAATGCAGGTGGGAGCTTGAGCGGGGAGACCTCTTCCTCCGAGGAGGCGGCGGCGGCGGCTCATCCGAAGGCCGGGCTCGCTCCTCCCGGGCCGTGGAGGGGGAAGGGGGAAGAAAAAGAGACCCGGCGCGGCCGGGCGCTTGGCTCCGCCTCCCCCTTCACCTCCTTCTCTTCCAGCCGGCAGCCGGCTGCCTTGTTGCTTCCCGGGCCGTGGAGGGGGAAGGGGGAAGAAAAAGAGACCCGGCGCGGCCGGGCGCTTGGCTCCTCCTCCCCCTTCACCTCCTCCTCTTCCTCTTCAAGCCGGCAACCGGCCGGCTTGTTCTTCCCAGGGCGGCAGCGGCGGCGGCAGGGGAAGGGAAAGGGCCTGGCGCTTGGCTCCCCCTCTCCTGCTTCTGGCTACTTTTGAAACACCCGCCGGCCAGCTGGGGGGAAATGCCAGCTGATCGGCGGTTCCAAAATGGCGGCCCACTATTTTCTGGAGATTCCTCGCTTACCGAGGCGACGAAAATGGCCGCCCCTATGGAGGATCCTCGCTGAACGGTGAGTTTTTGCCCTATAGGAACGAATTAAACAGGGTTTGATTCGTTCCTATGGGGTTTTTCTTTCCGTTTAGCGATGTTTTCGTACAGCGACGTTAATCCTGGAACGGATTAACGTCGCTGTGCGGGGCACCACTGTATCTTCCTCTTCTATTTGCCAGGAGGTGATGGGACCAGTGACAACGATCTTAGTTTTTTTGATGTTGAGCTTCAGACCATTTTTGGCACTCTCCTCTTTCACCCTCATTAAGAGGTTCTTTAATTCCTCCTCACTTTCTGCCATCAGAGTGGTATCATCTGCATATCTGAGGTTGTTGATATTTTTTCCAGCAATCTTAATTCCGCTTGTTCTCTTGACAAAACTCTATTAGCCTTTGCCCTGTTTCATTTTGAAATCCAAGGTCAAATGTACCTGTTGTTCCTTTTATATCTTGATTCCCTACTTTAGCATTCCAGTCCTCTATAATGACAAGAACATCTTTCTTTGGTGTCAGTTCTGGAAGGTGTTGTAAGTCTTCATAGAATTGGTCAATTTCAGCCTCTTCAGCATCGGTGGTCAGTGCATTAAACTTGGATTACTGTGATGTTGAAAGGTCTGCCTTGGATTTATATTGAAATCATTCTATCGTTTTTGAGATTGTATCCCAGTACAGCGTTTCCAACTCTTTTGTTGACTATGAGGGCTACTCCATTCCTTCTACGGTATTCTTCCCCACAATAGTAGTTATGATAATCCTCTGAACTGAATTCACCCATTCCCGCCCATTTTAGTTCACTGAAGCCCAGGATGTCAATGTTTATTCTTGCCATCTCCTGTTTGACCACCTCCAGCTTCCCAAGGTTCAAAAATCTTACATTCCAGGTTCCTATGCAGTATTTTTCTTTGCAGCTTCGGACTTTCCTTTCACTTCCAGGCCTGTCCACAGCTGAGTGTCCTTTCGGCTTTGACCCAACCACTTCATTAGCTCTGGAGCTACTTGTCCTTGTCCTCCACTCTTCCTCAGTAGCATGTTGGATGCCTTCCGACCTGAGGGGCTCATCTTCCAGCGTTGTATCTTTCAGCCTTTTGTTTCTGTCCATAGAGTTTTCTTGGGAAAGATATTGGAGTGGTTTGCCAGTTCCTGCTCCAGGTGTATAGGGTTTAGTCAGAACTCTCCGCTATGACCTGTCCGTCTTGGGTGTCCCTGCACGGCATAGCCCATAGCTTCTCTGAATTACTCAAGCCCCTTCGCCATGACAAGGCAACAATCCGTGAAGGGGAAGGTGCTGTATTCAAAATTCATAATGAGATTTTATTTTCCTCTCCAGCTCTGGAAACATTAGAAATCCAGTCACAATGGATAAAAATCAACATTTTAAAAAATTGATTTAAATCATGATGAAAATAAAAAAAATGATTCTCTATTTAAATAAAAAAAATCTCATTAAAAGAAATCAAATCCACCCTGAATCCACTAGTTGTTACTGATCACAAAACATCCAGATTCTCTTAATTATGTCTTTATTATCCTTTAATATAAAAATACTATTTCTCCTATTTCTTCATTATCATTTTAATAAACCACTGTGATTCCCATCTTGCAAACAGAAACCGAAGAATGAAAATGAATGAATGAGCTTTATTACGGTCACTTCCTAAGAATGAAGAAGTGAAGGCCTCTTTGAGGTCAATGAGTTGGCATTTAATCCCAGCATCATTCAATCTAATATATCATTTTATTTATTTATTATATCTGATTTATATCCCATCTTTCTTCAGAAATTGGGATTTGATGCAACAGACAATCCCAGAATTGGTCAGGCAGATATGAATATGCCTTTTAAGAAAACAGGGACTTTTCAAATGTGAATGACAGGCAGAATATTACATTTAAAAAACCACCTAAATAAATTATTTGAAACTCAGGAAGGATGATTTATGAGGGTGGGAGATAATGGACACATGTTAATGATTTTTGAAACCTGGTATCAGAAAAACTTTCAGAAAAGTAGATGGAAGCCAGAATATGTTACAAGCTATTGATATTTCCTGAAAAATACAAGTAAAATGCAACCTCTATAAAACAACCTTGTAATTAAGTACTAGACTGGAAGGCACAGGAACTAAGGAACTGCACTCAGGCAAAGAGAGAGAAAAACACAAAGAATCACTCCAGAGGAAGAACAAAGTATACAGATCCCAAAAATTAAAATTCAGTGGTGTCTGGAGAAACATAATGACTCCAACATCAGAAATCACTCATGGGCCAAAGCAAGAAAAAATATACTTTTAAAAACTACCCTATTTTTCCTAAAATATTTTGGATTTTTGTATAAGACACTACTTTTTCCTAAAATCATTACACTAAGAATTGAGGGGCGTCTTATACACGGAAGTAAGCTGAAGAAAGAACAAAATGGCCTGTACAGTACTTTGCTTCTGTAAACAGGCTTCCTTCAATCATGAGGCTTAGCTTCCTATAGTCAGGAGACTTAGCTTCCTCCAATCATGAGCCTTATGCAACCAACATCAGCTAATGCTGAACAAACCAATTGGAACACATCTCATTGGAGGTGGAGCCTGTAGACTCAGATGCAACGGGGACTCGTAATGTCCAAGCGTTCTGAGCCCAGAGGCTGAATCCTCAAAGCTAAGTTCTCTTATTTTTTGAGTTAGAAAAGGGGGTGGGGTGTCTTATAAACGGAAAAATATGGTATGCTTAGCAGAACCACCCAGCCAGCATAGGTACTAGCCAGGCTTCCTGGAGCTTTCTGGGAAATGTAGTCTAAAACAGTATCTCTTTCCATCTCTGGACATGGTTATTATGACTAGTAAACACCAGTAGCCTTGTTATCTATGAATCTGCCTAATGTTCTTTTAAAGCCATGCAAGTGAACAGCCATTCCTAATATCTCATGGTAGTGAATTACACAATTCAGCATTGCACTATGTAGGATGGTAGTACAGCATGTCAAGAGTATGAGCTGCATAAGTGGCTTAAAGTACTGTTGTTCCAACAGGAGAAATCAAGCACTTTGATTCCTTACTCTTCAACTTGAAAATCAGACTCTGTAGCTGACCTAGAATAACAAAGCCCCACTTCAGAGTGCCTACCGTTAGAAAAGGATGCCTGGAGTTCTGCAAAACACGGTTTTCTGTAAGGGTATGCGCCACTTCGTCCTGCAATACAAAACAGAAGGTCATACATAAACAGCAACTGGAGTCCTACAATTTTGAGTAGATTCATAAACCAACCAGTCATGTGATTAATAAACGGAACATTTAAAATCCAAAGTAACTTTATTACTTTGGGTCCTCTTCTCAGTAACAGTTAGTTTAAAAAACAAAATAAAAAATGGCAGGTACAATCCTGCAATGGGTCTTGAACTGGTGACCTAAGGGATGTTAGGTGAGGATTTGGCCAACTCTAGACAAAACAAGATAATGCCGTGGAGAATAGCCACATCACCAAAGAAGGCTCCTCCCAAAGCTCAAAGCACCGTGAGTCACACTCCATCTCTCTCTCTCTCTCTCTCTCTCAATCTCCCCCTTTCTCTGCTCTTAAAAAATACATGCCAGCCCATCTCTGTCTCTCTCCTGTCATGCCGGGTGCCAATCCAGCCCAGAATGATGGACAAGCCAAGTTGCCTTCTGATGGGGTAATTTGCTGAGTAAAGACTATTCAGAAGTGGTCACCATTCCCTTCTTCTTCTAGGGGTGCCCTGGGGCTGTCCAGCTTGCCCAAGGCCATGCAGCCTGGCTCTACTTGCAGGAGAAACCATGAGAAACTGAACTCCCAAGTTCTGGCAGAAAATATATAGGACAGAAAGGACCTTGTGAACCTAAGGCTTATTCAAGCACCACCAACAGTTGACTTATCCAATCAACTCAAAGAGACCATGAGCTTACCACAAATTTCCTTCACCTTATATCACCAGACGTCTACTGCACCCCTTCCCATCCTACTTTCAAACAAACAGGAGCCAGAGCCAGGAGGAGATAAACATGCCTTACCTTGGCAACAATTACTTCCTTCTTCAGAATTTTCATAGCATAATAGCGCCCAGTTGCTTTTTCCTTCACCAAGATGACCTTCCCGAAAGTACCTTTCCCCAGAAGCTTAAGATACTCAAATTCGTTCATCGTCTGTGGAAGACACAGTAGGGTTAAAAAGTTATGGGATACAGTTTCCAAAAACATGTGAACTAAGTAGATGACTAATACCTTGGAAAGACAATTAGAACTATTGCCAGTTATTTCCCACAACACACCAATAGTAAGGCTTAACCCCTTGCTGAAGAGCTCTACACAAAATCACAGGGTTTATAGCACAATTGAAGGATATGAATAAAAGTTGTATGAGATTACGAGAACCTAAGTATAAGCTCATTGGGGAAGACCAAAGGGCCTAGCCTAGTTGTCTAGGGTCATCTTGCCAATGGAGGATAGTACAGTGGTGCCTCGCTTAACAGCAATAATCCGTTCCAGGAGAATTGCCATTAAGCTAAAACATCGTAAAACAAAAATAAAAAGTCAATTGAAACGCACTGAAAACGTTTCAATGCGTTCCAATGGGCTTAAAACTCACTGTCCAGCGAAGATCCTCCATACGGCGGCCATTTTCACTGCCTGTATAGTAAAGAATCCGTCCCTAAACACAGCGGGGAGCCATTTTATTTACCCGGTGGCCATTTTGAAACCGCCGATCAGCTGCTGAAAAATCATCTTTTTGCGAAGAATCGGTTCCCGAAGCAGGGAACTGATCATCGCAAAATGAAATTCCCCCATTTTGACTATCATTTTGCGATAGCAATTGCGATTGCAAAAAGATCATCGTAAAGTGGATTCGTCGTAATGCGCGGCAATAGTAAAGCGAGGCATCACTGTAACTCTGACCAGTCGTAAGTCATGCCAGCTGTCATAGAACAATACCTCTGGAGGGCACTAAATTGGGGCATTAACACTTAAGAAGGGGAAAGAAGGAATCAGTTCTAACCTAATACTTACTACTTTGTGTTTTGGCTTTGTCATAGAAATTTCCATTTCTTCAGCACCCGAATTATCACTGGGGGAGCCAGATCTAAAGTCCATTATTTCTTCTTCTTGTTTCTTAAGGCTGTCTGCTACTGTTTGGATGGCTTTTGTCCATTCTTCCCTAACAAAAAGAAAATATCCCCAGTCTTAACAGTGTTCCACAGTAACAAGACAACACAATTCTATGCCACAGACCTGGAGGGGACCCCACCAGGTAAAGCAGACAATATTGGGCTAAACTAATTAAAATAAGGAAGCCTGGTATTAGGAAGCTTCCTTTAAGAAGTTTTACTTCTTAAAGGAT